TTTCATTCGCGTTAAAAGAGGACGTTTGCAGAGGGGTAAGGAGTACCTAAAAACCATACTTGAGTAAAAGTACAGATACCTTACAGTGAAAATTACTCCACTACACGTTACAAGTCACCAATTCCAAAACAACTTGAGTAAAAGTCTTAGAGTATCTGATTTTAACAGTACTTAAGTATTTTACTAAATATAGGCTCAAAGATGCACTAGTCAAAGAGACATGCCAGTGAAAAACTGTAACGTTGTGGAGAAGCTGCGGAAAACAGGCAGAGGCAAGGATCTATGTGCTGGTATTTCATGGAAAAACTAGAACAAACAATAAGGCAAAAACCAAAGGGAACAAAGAACAGAATGACTGGCAAACAGACAACCATTACATTCAACAACTCTCAAGGAACTAAAGAAAAACTAGGACTATATACACACAGGGGCTAACAAGCTTAACAAGATAAGACACACCTGGGGAGACTGATCAAGGGAAACCAATGAACAAACGGACTACAAACTGACTACAAACACCACGGGAGACAGGAAGTGACATAAAAGTCCAGGGCAAGGCACAGAGAATATGAAACAAAAACAAGAAAAGAGTTGATTTGTGATATTTTCTAAAACCAAACGTTTATTTTCTAAAACCAAAATAAAACTGAACACCTCAAAATAACAAAACAAACAAACAAAAAACAATATCTTTCAAAAAGGTCTCTTCAGTATAATGGATAAATAAAATAATGTTAAGTAAAATTAAAAAGCCGAAGCCTTCTTACACTGGCTGTGCTGGTTTGTGCCTCATTGCCGGCTGCAGTCATGTCCTCATCTCATATATAAAACACCTCTGATTCACAAATACTTGCTAAAGGAACTCGCATTCACTTAAAGTAGCCTTGTTGACAAGTTTGGGTGAGTAAGGGCAAAACGCACAAGATGCAGTACTTTCAGTGACCTGTAATAGGCAGTATCACGTCTTTTGTAGCAGAAATAAACTGCTGCAGAAAAAGCTAGGTCCATGCAAAATGTAATGTGTAACTGCAACACTCATTTCAAATGTAGTGGAGTAAAGAGTACAGATACTCATTCAAAAATGTAGTGAAGTAAAGAGTAAAAGTTGCTAATATCTTTGATACTCAGTACAACTACAAAGTACCCGAAAAGATATTCAAGTACAGTAACTAATTACATTTACTCCAATACATTACACCTCTGTTAAATTGTGACATATGAAACGGCATGTGAAGCCTTGCTCTGATCTGACATTTATTAGAAGTACTCTTAACCTGAAATCACAGTCCAAAATTTTTGTTAAAATCTACCTTGTCTGCATGTTTGCTAGTGTAGTTTTATTACAGACATATTAAGAGCTTTTTGAACTAGGCGTTTGAACCCGACATAAAAACCATTTGAGAAAATACATAATTGTGTAACTGGACTTTTGACTCAAACTCCTATAATTACAGAGATAAGGTAGCCTATGGCCTTTGTGCCAGATTCCATCTGTGACACCTGCCCTACGTATAAACACAAATATTTTACACGTAAATACGTCAAATTCAATATATATTCTAGAATTTTATGATCTATACAATAACGTTTATTTTCACAGTATAAAGTGGGGCTTACAGAGACTTTCGTTTTTGCGATATTATGAGTCACGAGTTTCTCTTTAACAGGGAGTGGCGTCCAAAAACTGACGCGTGCGTGATGTAGCTCCTCCCAACACAAATATACTCAAAGCTTAGCTCGACGAAAACAAGGAAGTAAGACGAGGAACTTTGAGTAAACCTTATATTTATTGTCATATAAACGCAGAATTCGGTCTGTTGAAATTCTCGTCCCGTAGAATATATTATCTACAGTGAAGAACAATGAACAACAAAGGTAAATACACGATCACCTCCGCTCTTCTGCTATTTTGCTTAGCCGCTTCCTAGCAACTACCAATGGAGTTAGCCAGCATAACTGACTTACATAACAAACGACTTTACGCACTGAACTCTTATTGATTATGTGCCAAAAACATCTGTCATCGACTATCTCCTGACGGACACTGTAATATTTAACGCGGTAGTGTCTTGTTTAGCGGACTGGGTAATGTTTTGGATTGAAAACGGGTAAAGGGAGATTAGCTTGGCTGCTACAGCGCGATGACGTGATCGGAAAGGTGACCTCATTAAGAAAGCGAGACGCTCACAGCATCAGTTTAATCATTAAATTAATCTAATTTAAAAGTGTTTCGTCGATATACTGTGAGGTATTTATTCAAGAACCGTTTGTCTTATTTTTTCTATCGTAATTTAGCCGTCAGTGAAGACTGGCCTTTTTGTCTCTCGTTTGTTTGTGTGTGGCTTAATGTCATTTATTGTAATACGTTTCCACATCCATATGTGCGACCCTAGACCACAAACCCAGTCTTAAGTGTCAATTTTTCGAAATTGAGATTATACATCAATCGTAAAGCTGAATAAATAAGCTTTCCATTGATGTATGGTTTGTTAGGATAGGACAATATTTGGCCGAGACACAACTATTTGAAAATCTGGAATCTGAGGGTGCAAAGAAATCAAAATATTGTGAAAACATTGAACATTGTCCAAATGAAGTCCTTGGCAATGCATATTACTAATCAAAAATGTTGATAAAGTTTTGATATATTTATGGTAGGAAATTTACAAAATATCTTCATGGAACATGATCTTTACTTAATATTCTAATGATTTTTGGCAAAAAAAAGAAAAATCGATCATTTTGACCCATACAATGTATTTTTTGGCTATTGCTACAAACATACCTGTGCAACTTGAGACTGGTTTTGTGGTCCAGGGTCACATATTTCTTATAGAAAGTCATTTGTCAATAATCATTTCTGTTTTGGTCAATATCACAAAACCTTTTAGAAAACATGTCTGGGTCACTTCAAAATTATTTTTATTCTTTTGGCAATATATTTTAATTTTTTTAATTTAATCCACATATCAAGCCTGTCTACTCTAGTTTAAGGAAAACCGCTGAATGGTTTATCTTGGTCAATATCTTTAGTACAAAACCAAAATATTGCTGGCTACTTTACAGTAAATCAACTTAAGATTCAGTTGTGATATTAATATTAAACCATTACCTGTCTTTTTTTTTTCTCCATGCAGGTTCATATCCACAATCTGTTTACCCTCAGCAGAGCACAGCACCCGTTTATCCGCCTGCTATGCAAATCCCTCCTCAGGTGTCTGCATATCCAGATGCCCCTCCTCCATACTCTGAGGTAACCAGTATGAGGTTACTCATTATGTCAATGTACAATATCCCATTAAAGCATTCAAGTGGGTCTTTTTACAATGTCACATTTTAATCTAGTACTATATAAAAAAACAACTTGTTTTGGAAGCACTTCAGAAGCATTTTCAAAAATTTATGTTTCATTACTCAAGACTGCATGCTAAAGATTCCCGCTAAAGATTCTTCTGAGAACATGAATCATTTTTGGAAAATGCGCTTGATGAATCATCTGTTGTGATGCAAGTGCCACCTCTCAGACAGACAAAGGCAATTTTAGCAATTAATTTGTCAACATGAAACTCCCAGAGGAAAGAGGTATTCTATCTAGTATGATAGATTTATAGCAAATTAATAAAGTAAAATGAAGCAATAAGTCAGAAGAGGCTGTTCATTAAACAGTTTTAAAACCTTAATAAAAACCCTTAATTATTTTATATAAAATTGCACGAAAAGTGATGTAATAAAAGATATCACTGTTTGATAAAATGTTAATTTCATTAACTATAACTTTAGGCTATTATACGGTTGCAGATGTGTGTTTACCTGCATTTTAAAATGGCTTTGAGTGCAGCTAATTAAAAAAAAAAACTTTTTATATAAATTCTGTGTTTATTCCATACAAAAAATGGTTACAATAATTTACGGTTTCAAATTTTGAAATGTTTCCCCCTCGCAGGTTTATCAGCCCAGGTATATGGCTCCTCCCCCAGCCCCTGGACAGATGCCCCAAATGACCTCAGCTTACCCTGGTACTCAGATGTACATGCCCATGCATGCTCAGACTGTGCCAATGGGGGCCATGGCCCCAAATGTCCCAATGGCATATTATCCGATGGGGCCCATGTACCCCACTGGTTCCACCCTCATGGTGGAAGGCGGATTTGATGCTGGAGCTCGCTTTGGGCCTGGCACCAGTGCTTCCATTCCTGTGAGTATTCCCAGTAAACATCTAGGAAGTACTATGCATTTAGCAGCCTACAATTAAGGGAATAGTTCACCAAAAAAACGGAAATTTGCTAAAAATCTACTCACTCTCAGGCCATCCAAGATGTAGATGAGTTTGTATCTTCATCAGAACAGATTTGTAAAAAATGTGGCTTTATATCACTTGCTCACCAATGGATCCTCTGCAGTGAATGGGTGCCGTCAGAATGAGGGTGATAAAATTACAATAATCCTCATGACTCCAGTCCATCAATTAATGGCTTGTGAAGTGAAAAGCTGTGTGTTTGTAAGAAACAAATCCATCATTAAGATATTTTAATTTCAAACCTTTGCTTCCAGCTAAATACGAGTCCTTAATTATTAATAACGCCTCCAGTGAAAAAGTTGTCTTGTCTGAATAAGGAGGGAAATATGCACAGATCAAGCACAGTTTACAAGCAAAAATAGTTCTGTGGATTTTGATGTGAGAGGACAACAGGAGATGTACTTTTTCGCTGGAGGAAGCATTATTATCATATTTTTGTCAGACACAATGGTTTAGTTAAAACATCTTAATGGATTTGTTTGTACAAACATGCAGCTTTTCACAAGATGTTAATTGATGGACTGTAATCTTTTATCAGCTGTTTGAACTCTCATTCTGAGATGTGATGAAATTCTAAATATCTCCAATTTTTTTTCAATGTAGAAACTATCTATATATCTTGGATGGCCTGATAGTGAATACATTTTCACCAAATTTTCATTTTTGGGGTATTTATTCCTTTAAGCAAATCCAGTTGATGTTGCAGGACCTATTCTGATTTGATTTATTGAGATGTGGGACAAACCATTTTTTGTTTATTAGTTATTTAAGATGTATTTAACCATGTCATCATAATATGTTAAGAAATTATTTAGGATTTTTAGATTATTTCCTTCATTTTGTACAAAATCAGGAAAATTATGTGATATGGAAAAAAAAAATGTTTTCAACAAAGTCAGCTGTCAACCTGTAAGACTTTTTCGTGAGAATTATTTTATGAAAATAGAAGTAGGAGGTTGCACTAAACATGTTTACACATTAATAAAAAAAAAACAACAACATCACAATGTGTGTTTTTTTCACACTTCTGTAGCCTGTTTTGTCCCTTAACTCAACAGTCCACAGTACTCAGTGTGAAATTCCTTTCAGGTTCAGTCTGTTCTGAGATATTATAAGTTATGACTTCACATTTTCTCTTGGCATAGATGTGCCTGAAAATGTAGCTGATGAAATATGTATTTGATTTACATATTTCTCTTCACATTCAAGCCTCCACCTCCTGGACACCTCCCTAGCGCGGCTCAGATGGCAGCCATGCAAGGTGCAAATGTGGTGATGTCACAACGTAAGGGCAACTTTTTCATGGGCGGCTCCAGCGGCGGTTACACCATCTGGTAACAGTGAGCACCCAACTGGGCCTGGACCGAAGCCCTCCTTCCTTCTCCCTGGTTCCCTTTACCTGTTCTCCCACCCCTGCCTCCTTTGGGGCTGCTTGGCTAAGCCACAATACTGATTTAATCTAATGGAATGTAATATTTTAGAGCCCCTTACTCAAGGTACAATACGCCGCTGTTGATATAATTGTGTAATATCGCAATTACATAATGTATAACACAATTATTGCGTATTCACAATTAAAAAGCGCATGATAATTGTAAGTTGGAACTTCTAGTGATCATATGTCATCTACCATATTTATCGGTTGGCTAATTTAGAGAGTAAACAACTTTGAAGGTGAAGACCAGGTCATTTTTACCTTTACTGACTCTTACAACTTCATTTTTACAGTACATTTTCTAGTTTGTGGTCGTCTTCTTGAGCCAGAGATCATGCCAAGAGAGCTGCCGAGTCAGTTTGATCATCAAGTAGCTATGCACTTGAAACGTTCTCTTTGAATAGTATGCTTAACTACGCCTTTCATTCATATTATTAAGGTCTTGTCAGATATGTAAAATGCAGATTTAAGCACTCTTAATCAAAGAAAAAGATGTGTTTACAACTTCAAACAGTGGCGGCGTATCGTACCTTTGGGCAAGCTTATATAAATATTATCAGGTGCCAAAACTGCACCATTATTTAAAAGCAAAGGAATTTACATATGAATGAACCTAAATGCAGTAAAAGAGAGAGTGAACAAGATTAGCTAAACTGGTTCAGAAAAGTAGGATTTTGTTTTTTTTCTCAATATATTCCCTCCAATGTCGGATACCCAGAGCTGTACATTTAGCCGTTTCACTTAGCTTAGCGTGTGTTATGTGTGTTCCAGCTATATGTGCTTCTAGACAAAATTTTTAGCATTTTCCACAAAGGTAAAGTTGTTTACAGAGGTCAGGGCTTAATCAAGAGACAACTTAATTTCAGTATTTTAAACGATTTGGCACATCAAGCT